ATAATAATAATAATAATAATAATTTCAGGTGGATTTCCTCTTCTACTGATCATTCGCTAACACCAGAGAAGTACTGTACAGTAAACGAAAAGCTGGTTACAGTGTAGATCTTTCGTCCAGAATACTGGTTAGTAAACTATGTAAGTATTACTTGATAATCTCACCTCTCAGGATACGAGAAAAAGTGTTCAAGCCGGATGGTTATGTCTCAAGGTGACGGTCAGTGGTATCGATATAGGCATAAACAGATGCATAAGTGCAGAGAACCGCACCGCGATCTGTACATGACCGCCATGACTTCAATAAGACCTTTGGCGGACCTGCGGTCGATTTAGTTGCCCATCAGTATTCATCGCCATTGTGAAGCAACTTAACAATGGCATGAACGACAGCGTCTATAAAATGGCGCCCAAACAGTGGTAAACAAGGATGCTGTATTCTGGTGCTCTCATCTATTTTTGGGGGTGCCTCTCTTACCCATACCGAATGAAGGAACTTTCCAACATTTGATGGCTCCAGACACGGACAAAGGTGTCGGCCGCATTCATCATTGACCTTCAGTACACAGACCACTTCACCCTTGTCGCTCACACTGAATGCGAGCTACAGGAGATGCAGGGTACCTACTTCGACGCGTATGCACACTTCAGCTTTGAGGTGAATGTTTGCAAAACACAGGTTTTGTTTCAGCTCGCTCCTGGTTCAGCCACTCCCCCACTGTCCATCTAGGTTAATGGGACCACCCTCTCTAACGCAAACCATTTCCAGTACCTTGGTGCCCCACCTCTCCGCCACCGCGGACATCGATGAAAGAGATCCAACATCGGATCAGATGTGCATCTCAGGTCTTTGGCTGACTGCGTAGTCGTGTCTTCGAGTGTAGGGAGCTGAAATTATTTACAAAGCTGCACGTCTATCGATCAGTTGTCCTCCCCACCCAGCTGTATGACAGTGATACAGCTAGATAGGAGCCACCTCAAGGCACTTGAGAACTTTCTCCAACGTAAATTAAGTTCTATCCTCCAAATCCACTGGGAAGACAAGAGGACATGTGCCAGTATCAACGTTGACGTCAACTGTAGGAGCATCGAGGCCGACCCATTTAGGTGAAAATACAGTAGACTGCAGTGGGAAAGGTATAAGGTTACTCCTAAGACAAATCTGAAAAGTGTCAAATTAACTTTCGTAACCGCCGTAACGTTTGAAGAAGCACCACGCAAGAGTATTAAAACCTTTGAATCAGCTCAAATAAGTGCTGAGGCAGACAAGCGCCATCACCGGAAAGGCGCTGCCGCCGCCACTTCCGTACTAGCTGCATCCCTTTACGTAAGCAACATCTGTGGACGACCCTGCCGGTCCCGTATAGGACTCCTGAGCTACTGTATCTCAGACTTAGATTACACTAACGAAGGCGACATCATTAAGAATTCATATCGTCCTGTCATCACTGGGTGATCGTCATACTCGATTCCAAGTGACAGCATAGTAGTAGCAGTAGGCTTAGGCAGCACCGTAAATAAATTGCTGAGGACACAAAAGTAAGGCGTATTATAATTCGAATAAAGGATAGAGAGGATTAAAGGAAGACCAATATAAGCTTTTAGTACACACCGAAAACTCGGAAATGCAATTTAATGTAGATAAATATTAAGTTCTAAGGCTGAATAAAGAAAACAGAACTGACGATCACCTCAACTATGTAACTTACTGTAGATATAGAGAAATCTAAATATGAAAATAATTTAAAGAGTGAGGGTTAGTAGAGACCTCTAGACCTAACATTTTGATGAGATCTGTCAAAAAAATAAAAGAATATTGGTAGCAGAATTGGACGTGCGAATTTTTAAAGTAGTGAACTGTTTTCATATTCACACCGGTGCATTTACACTTAATAGCCAGACGATATGCTCCCAGACGTTCGGTTGGGTTATGCGTATAGAGGAGGTGTCTACTGACCTTCATGGCAGCGACCACTTTCCCTTTAACATTCATTTCACATGCTCGATGCCCTCCTTGTCCTCGCTTCCCTCGGCGTCTTGACACGGTGTCATTCTCTAAGCGGGTGTCACAAATGAAAGATTTTCTACCTGGTAAACTGGACCGCTTCTCCATAGTTGCCACTAGGATATCAGTGGTTAAACGTCGCCTACAGATCTCTCTCAATTGGGTGTCTCAGAAGACAGATTTACATAGATATCAGGATCATTCTCGAAAACTGTAATTATGCATTTTTGTGGGTTGTGAAGAGGTCACCGGGATCCAGATCTTTTTCTAAATGATAAATTAAACCCATATGTCGAAGAAACGAGAGTCTTCGGACTGGTATTTGATCGAAGAATGACATGAATTCCTCAGGCGAGGTCCCTCGATGTGTCATGTCTCAAGGTTTTATTAGACATAAGAACATAAGAAAATAAGGAGTCTGCAATAGGCCGGTTGGCCTGTGCATGGCAGCTCCTGTCGAGAGTTACTACCACTCTCTGTCATCCATGAATCTATCTAGCCTCCTTTTAAAACTTTCCAGCGTTCCAGCACTTACTACAAAGTTGCTAAGCTTGTTCCACTCGTCCACCACCCTATTTGTGAACCAGTTCCTTCCTATCTCCCTCCTAAACCTAAACTTATCCAACTTAAATCCGTTGCTACGAGTCCTATCCTGCTCGGATATTATAAGAACTTTATCTATATCGCCTTTATTGATTCCTTTCACCCACTTAATACTTCTATCATATCTCCCCCCCACTCTTCGTCTTTCTAGGGAATGCAAGTTTAGTTTCTTTAACCTATCTTGAAATGGAAGGTTTCTAAGTCCCGGAATTATTTTCGTCATTCTTCGCTGCACCGACTCCAGTGAATTGATATCCATTCTATAATAAGGGCACCAGAACTAAACCGCATAATCGAGGTGCGGCCTGACTAGCGCAAGATATAGTTGCAATAAGACCTCTGCACTCTTATTACTTACACTTCTAGATATAAAACCTTATACTCTGTTTGCCTTATTTCGAACATTAACGCGCTGTTTTCTAGGCCGTAGGTCCGGGCTTACAAGTACCCCTAAGTCTCTTTCACAAGTCGACTTCTCTAGGTTGATGTTGTTAAGGCTGTATACATTGACAGTATTTGTTCTTCCAATATTAAGTACGCTGCACTTGCTGGTGTTGAATTTCATTTGCCATTTTTCTGACCACTCTGCAGTTTATTTAAATTCTCCTGTTGTGCATTTGCATCCTGCCCTGAATTAATCTGCCGCCCTATTTTGGTGTCATCCGCAAACTTGCTTATGTCACTGCTGATCCCAGTATCTAGATCGTTTATGTAGATTATGAACAAGAGTGGGCCCAGTACTGACCCCTGGGGAACCCCACTGGTTACACAACCCCACTCAGATTTAACACCATCTTTTCATATTATATCGAGCACTGATTAGACCAAATCTGGACCTGCTGTGCAATCTATTCCTATCGTACTGCAATTTCCTTTCTTTTATCCTCTTCGCCACTGATCTGCTTGTTAGCCGCTTGGGCGATCGGTCACGTCTCTGTCACGCACTGTTGGCAAATGCTGGGCATGCACCGGCTCCTGAATGTACCTGAACCTGTACGAATTCTAGACGCAGTCCATTGTTTAGCAACAGGAACTTTTAGATCCTCCCTTTTGTCAAGTCTCTTCAGCGACACCCAGGGACCTTCATTAGATTTGCGACACCATTCATTCAGTTATAGGTGCTGCTACTGTATTCAAAGACAGCCATTTTTGGTTCTTCTTTGAGGAGGGACTTGTCTCCAAAATATAAGCAATTACTCTTGTCTTCCCCAGCATATATATATATATATATATATATATATATATATATATATATATATATATATATATATATATATATATATATATATATATATATATATATATATTTTTTTTTTTTTTTTTTTTTTTTTTTATTATAGCCACAACCTATTATATTTTACTTATTTTAAGCACACTTACTCTAATTTTGTTTTGATATATTTGGAGTCGGTGACCATAGCTATTCTAACACAAGGTGATAATATCACTCAATAAATAAATGGTTTCATACTACGAAAGTCGGCAATGAGCATAGGTTATGTGTGATGTATGATTATTATCTACGCGTGGGTGTGTACGTAACCTGTTTCATGCTAAGCTATAACATGTAGTCTATCATTTTTCATGTTTGTATGATATCTGACAGACACCAGACAATGACAAGGAATTAATATCTTATCGCCTTCCTAGTTGTATTTCATAGGGTTGTCATGTGACCAGTATATGTGAGTCAGCAACTGGAAATCCTCGAGGAGGCTTCACCTAATAATAACTGCCATAGCTTTAGTCATCGCTCACGGCTATATATTAGGTAACAAATAGGTGTTTTTTTTCGTTTAAGTATTCAGTACTTTAGTGTAAATATGTGACAGTAATGCACGGCATCGACAGTTTATAATAGACTGAATATACATGTGCATCTTTCATTTCACATATTACTGAAACACACACTTAATTTCATATTAACATTATTCAAATTTATTTAAGACTATGCACATCCGTGTATTATATAAAATGGTGAATTTGTAAAGGTCAGGTACTTTCATTGTCATGTTTTGTCTGTCCCATTAATTATCAAAGCATTTTATGTAAGCAAATTGGACAAAGTAATATATAACCGTAGCCTGATAATCTGAAGAAAACAAATAATGTTTTTATGCCAATTGTCGGTAAGTAAATGCTTAGCGCGTTGCACTAAGACCAAGTCAGGTCCGAGACATAGACGGAGACAGCTCGAACATGCACACACCTACCATGTTCCAATAACGCAATTTAACACTGGTTGCTATGCCATTTACATATTGATTAATATAAATAATTATTAATTTTATGAGAAACGTAAATATTATAAAATAGTAAGATAATTTTAGATGCAATTTATTTTAGTTTTAAGCAAAATAAAATAGTTTTTGAAGAGGTTGAAGATAGTGTTTACCGCCATGACGTCATTGTTCCCGTGACTGCGCACTGGCAAACGCCATATTGACTCCGTGGGCGTCGAGCTCTACTCTGAGGTTCTCATCTTTGTTTACCTTCTTCGGGTGAGTATTCAACTAAATATACCTACTAATAAGAAGAATTAGTAATGTCTCTTCATTTGAAAAGTTGAAGAGGATTATACAAAGATTTACTAGAGAGATAGGCGTTTTTTAAGTATGTGTCACTTTGTTTTCGTAGTTTCCTTCATCAGCTGTTTCAGGTCTAGGGTGAGGACACAGGCTTTAATAATAGTTACGCATTTATCAGTTTTTATTAACTTACTATTTTAATTTTTTGTGTCTACGTATTTAACGGATTAGGACATTAGGTATTCAACCAAAAGTTATAAGTTATCAAACAAATTTAAGGTAATCCCATTTTTCCTTGTTTGTGACGTCTGAATTGTGTACAACCACTGATCGAGTATTTTTATCTAGCTAATAACATCTGCTGTACCTTTATTTGTTACCTGTGGTAGGTAAATGGAAGTCTCTCAAAGTTGTGTGTTTCAAGTGAGAGAGTAGGTGAAGATAACTGTACAACAACCTTAGGGTCACGTGAACATTAGGCACCCCCAACGTATTTTGCCAAATTATTAAACGCCCTAATGGTGCACAAGAACATAAGAACTGCAGCAGGTCTATTGGTCCATATTGGGCAGTCCCATTTACACCCAACCCCCATTGCTCATATCCGTCCAACCTATGTTTGAGGCTATCCAGCGTATTCGAGTTAATGATGGTGTTTGGTAACTTGTTCCACTCATCCACTACTCTATTTCCAAACCAGTGTTTACCTATTTCGCGCATAAATCTAAGTTTGTCTAATTTAAAACCATTGTTATGAGTTTGCTCTGGGTTGGATAGTTTGAGTACCTTTGTAATGTCCCCTTTGTTCAGCCCTGACTTCCATTTATATACCTCGATCATATCGCCCCTCACTCTACGTCTTTCAAGGGAGTGCATATTAAGATACTTTAACCTTTCTCTGTACTCAAGGTTCCTAATTCCCGGGATTAGTCTTGTCATTCTCCTCTGAATTCTTTCCAAGGATTCTATATCCATTCTGTAATACGGTGACCAGAATTGAACTGCGTAATACCTGGAGAGATAGGCTAGGTTAGCAGAAAATGTTGTGGTATACTTTTCATTAAGGCATCTTTTAGGATTAAACTTGGTAATTTGAATTTCTTTTGTACCCAAGTTAACTATTTTAAGACTTTTGTATCTAAGAAATGTTGTTCCAGTAATACTTTGCCAATCACGTGTACCTATTCTAGTTATTTTTAAAATTTTAGTAAAAGGAACATTTTTCTTTCCCCAAAGAATATTCCATAATCCGCCCAGGAGATGTACAGTATACAATTTTTATAGTTAATGTTTTAAAAAAAATTATTACCTACCCTGGTTAAAGATTCGTTTTATGTCCACTTAGTGTTTTTGTCATGACAACAGTGTTTTCTTGTGTTTTGTTCTCATTTTTATAAATATCACCTTTATTTTTGGCACTAATTCGTATTTAATGATATGACCTCGTTAACACTCGGGTGACATTTTGAAGTGGCGACTTTGTATTTCCAACAAAATTCTTACCTTATTTATCCAGTGGACGAGCAGTCGGTCACACTTTCTGTGAAAATAGTTTCCATATACTGTGAGTCATGTTTTAAGTTTAGTAGACCTGATCTGGACATGACCAAGAGATAACAATATTGATAGATTTTAAGCTTGCTAAACACTTTTTTGCAGGAAATTATATTCAAAGCTGTTTCATGTGAAGTTCACATGATCTGCTTCAGCCAATCAGGACAGTTCATGTATTTTGTGAGATTTATGCATGTGCAAAAAAAAAAAAGTACTGGTACCGGTATCCATCAGTATTCATTCAAATAAATACTGTAGCTCCTTCGTGACCTAAACACCAAAAACACACACAAAGAAAATCACTTTTGTTTACTATTGGTTAAATAAGGTAAGTTCTTTTATATGATTAGGATTTTCCTAGGTTAGGAAATGGTAGGTCAGGTTCTCAAAAGAATTTTATGTTTTCACCTCACATTTTCCTTCATCTTCAAAGCCCTGCCCACTTTGTAAGGATGCATTGTCGTTACTAGTGTTAAAGGGGTCCTATCATTAAATAAGCATCAGCGCCAAAAATAAAGGTCATATATGTTAAAATGAGAATAAAATGCATAAGAAAACGAGTTGGGCATAAAATGAATCTTTACCACAATGAAAACAAGTCAGCCTGGATGTATAGTACTGTATACCTTCTTGTCCTATGAGTAAGACAGAGCTTTCTTTACTGGTGATTAAGAAAAACTAGTTCTAGAAGAACCTGTGTCCATTTGACACTCCGTATACTGTATTTAAATCTTTCCTTGTCCTTGATAAAGAAAAGGTTGAGCTTATTGCATTAGAGACAAACAAAAATGGTGCTAATGTATGGTATGTGGGAAAAGGGGGGGTTAAATGAGGAGAAAATTTAGGGATCTGCTGTGGAAGGAAACTGATGTTGGGGAGATATACAGTATGCCTTTTTAGGTGTGGTCATACTGTGACCAGTAATGCTTTATGGTATTGTACATGTACAGTATATGGTAGGTGATTTTTTATGGGGTGCTCTCTCTTGCTGCTGGAAGGGGTTAAACAGTTAATACAAATTTTCATCATTTATTATTGCTCTATTCGGCCCAGAGAAAAGTGTGTATATTACTGTATACTGTATATCAGGCCTACCACTTCAAAGCTGCTGTCTCACTTGTGACTCATTAATATTAGAGATTCAGTTTTAACTATTAATTTTAACTTTATCTTTATTCATTTGCCAGCAAAAATTTCCACTAGTTTCTGTACATCATCATCCTTGGAATAAACAGGCCGGGCTTTCTGGTCATTAGCTTTTCTAGTATGGTAGTTGCAGTACCTAAGTTTCTGTGTATGGTCTAGAGTTGAACAGTTTCAATGGTGATCCCACACAAATAATAAACCTTAAAGATTATCACCTTCAGAGATGCTCACAGACAGTTCACAATTATTTTAATTGCACTGAAACCTCTCACATTTAGGTGTTATAGCTTTGGCAGAAATTTCATTAATGAATTCCATTAAACTCATTGAAGGCTAGTTTTCAAACCTTCAATCTTGCACTGGTCAGTGTTGGCATGAAGGTACAGTATGGCACAGAACTTCAAGCTTCTTTGTGTCATAAGTCAGCAGGCAAATAGTAGGCCATTAGGAAGGATGCAGTACTTCTAATACTGTACATCCATATTAATTTTAGAAGGTCCACAATGAGACATGGGCCACTTCTCTATGTGAGGAGCCAGACTTCTTAGGAATTGCTGATCTTTAAATTCAACACCACACTTTGTTCTGAACTGCTTGCTTGGCCTCCTTTGTAAATGGCCCAGCAACAACTGTATGTGTTAAGAAGTGCTTTTGTTTATCATTGTGATAGTATTCATTGCTGAAATTTACTGTTTTCTTTTGTGTAAGAAAAGAAGATGAAACCAAACGTTACCAAAGCTTAAAGTACAGTGTTGTATTGAAGAACATGCAAGCAAAATTATATTTGCTGTTCTGTACCATAATAGTAAATGCATGGGATGGGAAGTGGTGATGTGTGTGGGTTGGTGTGAGAGAATGCTATTACTGAAATATAGTACAGTACGCCTCGATAATTCACGGATTTTTATTTTGTGGTCCTCTATTATTCACGGATGACACCCTGGATGTACCCAAGAATGTCTGTGTGTGTGTAGACACACACACACAAAACACCTACAGATAAATATAATGGGAAAATCCTCTCACAAATAATCAGAAACAAATGTGGTATTAAAAATGTTGAGTTTACCCTCAATTCTACTCCATGCTTTATTAATAACAAAGCACAAAGTATACTTGAGGGTAGACTCAACATTTTCAATACTACATTTGTTTCTGATTATTTGTGAGAGGATTTTCCTATTTTTACTTATTCGTATGTCTTTTTGTATGCGTGTCTACATACACACACACACGCATATACAGTATACAATACAGTACAAGTAAAAGAATTAATTGTCCTAAGGGCAAACACATAAAGGGAATACTGTATACCGGTACAGTTCTTTTTATAAAGTAAAAATGTATCTTCCCCCCCCCCCTCTTCGCCAGCAAATTTTATTTGTGAATTTGGCGATTCGCGGCCATTTTGAAAACCTAACCCCCGCGAATTTGAAGGGTCTACTGTACTCGGTTTTCTCTGCAAATACAGATTGTCTTTTGTTAAAGTTTATTGGTACAGTACATTACTGTAATTACTACAAGGATTGCATTGAAAGTAACTAAATTGTCCCCATTTTTATTATTTTTTATTATTATTTTTTGTCTGTAAATTACAGATACCTCTACTAGGGGCCAGCTAACTCAAAGACAACTCCAAATTGTGTGCCCTGTCATAATAAGTACTGTCAAGTTGTGTGTATTAGTGTTGGGGAGTTCTTGCTTAACCTTCCCTTATCCATGTAAATTATCTGTGGCAGTCTTATCTGTTGTTGTAGTAAGAGAGATTATGGTACAGTATTAGTGTTCATTTATGTACCTGTATGGCATCCTATTGTAGCTGCTATCTGTTATCTTGTGGTAGAATTCAAATGGAGGAAATTTCATTGTTATGTATGCAAGTGGTGTTGAATTACTATTATCATTTACCTATACTGTACTGTATTCTTTTCAGCATACCATGTAATTATGAATTTTTTCTGTAATGTATGAATCGGAAGTAATGTGCTCTCGGATAATAAACATTTTATGGTCAAACCTTACTGGGTGTTACTGTACTGGAAAAACATCAGAATAGCATTAGCATCAACCTGTTCTTGTTTGTATGATTATCATGGTACAGTATTGTACTGTAAGTGAGTTTCACGTAGTTTAATTTTTTCCCTGAAACCGCAAATACAAGAGGCAGTAAAAAAGTTTTGCAAACTGGATATATTATACAGTAAACCCTGTCAGTAACAGATTTCAAAATACCAAATACTGTATATCCAACAAAGGATGTCTTTTGTTCATTC